TTCATAGAAGAAGAAAAGGAGAATTTTTTTCATCCAAATGATAGCATTGTTCTTAAACAGGCCAAATTTGAAATTAACAATTGTATATATAATATCAATTATGGAAAGATTGATAAGCAATTAGTCGAACTACAAACTCAAGCTATTGTAAAGTCAATTGATCGTAGCCAAATTTCTCAAGAGGCATATAGATCTTTGGCTAGACTTGATGAATTACTAATCTGAGCTGGAGCAATTTATGATATGAGACAAAAAATCACACACAAAGTAAATGAAAAAATTTCCATTAGTTTAGTTAATATTGACCAACTAACCATTTTTGAGCCAATTACTGAAGAGGCTGATATTACTAATTCAACCATAGTTTCTAATGTTATTACGTCTATCGGAAAAGGTGGGTACTGACGAATTACTGATATACTTAATTATATAATTCCATTGTATATTCAAAAAAAGTTTTAAAACCTTGCTCTACTTTACACTTACGTATATCTGAAGATGGCTGAAATGTTGGCAAAAAAGCAAAGCACGTCATGTTAACTGTTGCACTTTTGAATAATTTAGATAAATTGCATAAACCCGAATTACATTATATGTTAATTCTATTTCCTGGTACAGAAAATTATTATACACTTCAAAACGCACTTGCTCCTTTAATTTTAGATTTGCAATTTTTAAATGAACACGGATTTTATGAGATTGAAGGATGACATTGGAATGTCGAATTATACTTTAGTTCAGACTAGAAATTTTTAGCCATATACTTAGGAATGAATGCTGCAAATTCGAAATATTTTTGCCCGTGGTGTCATTGTAACAAGGAAAATTTAACTAATACTACTAAATATAGTATAATTTCTAAGGATATGAAAAAGATAAAGAAATCTTACTCTACACTTAATAGGCACATTCGACCCCCTCTTTTTAATATAATTCTAATTAAACATTGGGTATGTGATAGTCTACACGTTATGTTAAGAATAAGCGATCGACTTTGGGAGCTATTTTTATCAGATCTTCAACATGGTGAATTAAATGAAAATTCTCAGAATTTAATTTTAACTGAAATAAAAAGATTGGAAGTTAGTTTTCATTTTTGGATAGATTAACCGACACAAAGTTTAAAGTATATATCTTTAATGGGCTCTGATAAACTAAATATTTTGAAAAATTTTGATTTTACTAAATTTGGTTCAAGAGATTTTTCTCAAGAACGTGCTATTCAACTTCATCAACTGTAGTCCGGTTTTCTTGATTTATACAATATGATGACATTACCAAATATAGCAGGATCACAATTTAGAATCAAAGCCGAATTATGGTTAAAGTTATTTTTAACACCATCCAGGGGACAACCAAATCAATCCAATTTTAGTCGTGGCATGTATCAGGTAAATATATTATATGTAGTTATTGCATAGTGTTTGATGTGTAATAACAAAAGCACTGGTTGTTACATAAGACCTATACAATAAATTTATTTTTTGTTTTATATAATTTATATATAGTGATAAGTATTAATATTTATTTATATATAATAAAAAGATAGCTGATGCTATTCCTTATATGCATATATTAACATGCCACATCCATAAATTAATTGATATTCATCATAAATTTGGAATAGGTGCTTTCAATTGTTCAGCTATTGAAAAAAAGAATCATCTTCAAGTTTGTCGCTATTTTTAGTCTATGCTTAAAGATGGTAGTCACGAAAAACATAGAAGATCATGTATTCTCAAAATATTGGAACATGAAAATTGAGAATTGTTTTTTCAACTTGTTGAGGTACCGAGCTACTTTAAAAAAAGTAAATCATATAGATTAGAAAATTAGTTTTTTATATCTAATGAATTCTTTGACAGTTTATTTTCACTTATTACATATGTGAATACATAAACATAAAAATAAATAAAATAATTAATTGCGATTACACTATTGTATAAATACTTTGCCGTGAAATATTCACTCATAAATTTTTTTTTAGTCAACTAATCTGTTTAAGTTATAATTACCACAATTACACAAGAGTTAGCTAGGTGACACCAATAAAATTAAGAAATGATATTATACATATCACACTAAGTGTATAGATCTTTCTAATATGAACTTGGTAGTTTATTTTCTGTGATTTCTTGTCTTATAAATGAAAAAATTCCTATTAACCAACTATTTTTGGCAACCACGGAAATAGGTAATTCAGACTTTATATAAATAATATGCTCATGCCCGGTATTTGTTTTATCATTAATACTATATTTTTAAGACAGAAAATGAATCATGAGGGTACAGATACTATGGTGACATTGGATGCTATTCAAACTTCGGAAACAAAATGATATATATATTTTACTAAAAATTGAATCAGCCTAGCAAAATTTTTAGAAATTAACGTTAAACTCTGTACTTTACAAAGCGAATTAGGTCATCTTTATATTTTAAGAAATTATGTGTTATTAGCATAGTCAAAAACATAATACTATATATCTTTGCGTTGGATTTAGATCGATGCTTGGTCTTCGAGAGTGAATTTTGGCCAAATATTCTGGTAAATTTTTCTAAAAAATTCAATTGTTTTTGGTTTCTTTAAAGTTTAAACCTATCTATATATTTATATTCAATTAATAGCAATAACTAATGAAGACATTAGCAAAGATCAAATAATGCATTAGCATTGGAATGCTAAGAAAAAGTTTATTTTACTATGGGTTGATGCGAAATAAATTAACTAAATTGTTGAAAAATATATCAATAATGCATTTGAATTAAGTTATCAAGAGAATGTGACACCTAATGATTTAACTAGATTGTTAGAAATTGAACCAACAATATAACAGCATTAAGGTATCAAGGAGAAATTAATTATATGATAAAAAAGGTATAATAAATCAATTGTGGGCTTAAGAAATTTGTTACCCAATAGTTGGTAAGTTCTGTAGTAAATTTTTTATAGCGATAGTAAATCACGAAGAAATCTTGATGATTTTATTCAACTTTACTAACTCTGGTGTGGTTTTTTTAAGTTATACAAGATGATGACATTACTAAATATAACAGGATCACAATTTAGAATTAAAGCTGAATTATGGTTAAAATTATTTTTAACACTATCCAAGGGACAATTGAATTGATCTAATTTTATCTGTAGCATGTATTGGGTAAATATTTTTTTTTTGTCATCAAAATTTTATAATAATAAGTATTAATATTTATCTATATTTGGAGTAGCAGCTTTTAATTAGTTCAAGTTTGTCACTACTTTAAATCTACGTGGTCATAATCGATTATGTATTTTTAAACTATTAGAGCATAAAAATGAGAATTATTTTTTTTGCCAAACTACATCAAAATGTGAATACATTATAAAAAGCTATTATCAAAATAGATTAATATTGATGCTTCAAAATAGTATTTAGGTTAGATATTAATTAATTCATAGTCAGCTTAGATTTTACTAACTAATAAGCTAGAATTTCTACTTTAAATTTATATTTTATTATCTAATAGATGAATTTTTTTTTATTTTTAATTAAAAGTTTCAAAAAAGTTGGTGTGTAAAAATGTCAACTGATTGTAATACTCTCACATTGATGAATTCAAATAAGTATCGCACAAGATCAGATCTATCAAATAAGTATCACAAAATCAGATCTATCAAAACATCGCACAATATTCCATCCATTAAAATAATCAAATAACAATTTAATAAACATTAAATATACAAAACAGCATTTAAAAGAGCCAATATGTCAAACCTAAGTGCAGAATTTTATTGCTATTACACTTGGACCAATGACTACTCTAGAATAGATTATATAAATGTCGAACTAATCAAACTTACAATTTCTAAAAGAACTAACTGAATATTAGTATAACATAAAATCTAACATTGAATTGGGTATATCAAAATGAAGCTTATAAGATGCCCTTCACCCAAGTACTGTTGTGAAATTATAGGTCAGTAAAAATTTGGCTATTGTTGAGTATCAAGCAATCTACTAAGAATTTTTTTGTAATTTGGAGCAAACGTCAATATATATGCTTATTTGAATTATTATATATTGGCAAATATAAATACAAAATATGGATCATTCCTTACTAATGAAGATTTTCTGTGCTCCTTTAAAGAACCAAATATTCTAGATTGCCTATTTTCTGATGGAGATATAAGCATAGTTTGTCCATTGATACCCATATCATCATCGGCATACAGTATATAAGTCGAGCAAAAGTTATATTATTGTAAAGAATCTAAGATTATAAGAAATTATTTTTATAGTACTATAAGTCGACAAAATCAATAAAATGAACTAATTACCTCAAGGATTTCTCTTGGAATGCCATCGATCCTTGTATTATTTACAAATTCATCCTGTCATTTTACGCTTTACACTTTTGTTAAAGGCATCAGTATGTAATATTAACTCAATATACGAGAATAATGAACCATCATAAAAAAACAAACCATTTACTATAAACTTACAGATCTATTTGCAATTTTCATTTCGACTGTATAGTTCTTGCCTTGAGACGATTTATCTTTTTACCAAAATAATTTATATTTTAGTTATAAAAAAATAAAGGTTTACTAAATATTCTAAAGCATATTATACAACTAAAAACTAATAAAATTAAGAGTATACATAGTTTAAATTTATTTATATACAAAGAGCTTAGCACATACTCTATAATCTTAATATAGTAATAAGAGTACAAAAACGAAAAACTATTTTAAAACTGACCTTGGTCAACCACGAACCTAAATGTTGCCCCTCCACTTTCACAGCGATGATTCGCCTTATCACTAAATCTTTTCATTCACCATTCAATTAATAATCCACTTTTTAAAATTTTTTTTTTTTTTTTGTTTAAACTTTGATTCTGATATAGTTAGATTTGTTTTTTTAATTTTTTCTGGCTTATTCTTATACAATTTGATTCATGATAATTGCCTATTTTTATAATTTCTTTCTGCCTATTTACTATTACCGAATATTTCAGCTAGTTGATTAATCGCTTCTTCTCCATCAAATAAACATTGATTTTTTTTTTTTTTTTAATATTAAAGGTGAGACCATGCTTTTATCTTTATTAAACTTAATGAAAACTTTTTACATAATTGGAAAAGGTTTTATATCT